CTATTTACGCTAATTCAGTTTCTAAACTAGGAAAATCAAACCATTATGCAACATTTTACCCATTCAAAACTATTATGCTTTAAAATGTTAATCACTATGGCAATCGTCCTAATTTGTCATAATTCTTAGACCCATGCGTAGATGAAAATCAACTGTGAAGTAACTTGTGATAGCCAAATTGATGATAGCAATCTCCAAGTTAAGATAAACATTACCTAGTTTTGCTAATACACTAATTCAGTTTCTAAACTAGGAATATCAAACAATGGCAAAATATTAACATGACCCAAAAACATATTTCAAAATGCTCATTAAGGGACGTAGGGAAGGAGGTAACTAGATGTAGGAAATGATGTAGTTTGGCCCAACCAGTAAAACACAGCTGGGTCGTTTGCTGACTAATAATCCTGCCTCTCTCTCCTCTCTCTCTTCTCTCTCTCAGCTGAAGTCATCACACTTATGTCAGCATCATCACCATCAGGAAGCTACTGGCCCCATTCACAACCGTAACAACTCCTGGCCCTCGCTGCTCAGACTTCCTCTTTTCCTCCGAGAAAGCCGAGCAGAGGGAGAAAGAGCACCTTTGTATGTCCATATGCGTCTGGGTGGCGGTGAGCGTGCCGGGGCGTCCTGCTGGGAGGACAGATGGCGCCAGAGCCTGCCACGACAGCGCTGACGATGGCCACATTCTCACATGGGACTCCTGGTTCTCGGAGTCCCACACCTCCTGTTCAGGCCTGCACCAACACTCCCCCTGTGAGCGCACACATGCACTGTTTCCCATTAATAGAGGAGACTATAGTGACCCTCCTCCAATTTTTCTTCATAGACAAGCTGAAAAATACTGGTACTACTTTATGTGGTAGATTTTTGCTGCAAGAGTAAAATTCTGTTCAAAGTTCAAATTTTAAACATGCCATTATTATATGAAAATACTGTATAGAGGAAACTATTGTATATTTGTTAACTAGAGATAGCCCAGTGGGTTTGGGTTATGGGTTATGGTTTGAAATGGCAACAAACTTGGCCTTGACTATATTTCGCTGCAAACCCATCAGAGAACAGTGTAGTCACATTTTGAACAGTGCCCTCTTAGCATGCCAGTGTTCCAGTGAAGCTAAAGGTTTCTCTATCTAAATCAGTCCTATTGCTAACATATTGGAGTTTTGATTGTGATTTATCTTGCAGGCCTAATTGATAGAACAACTTCAACTTTTTGCCTCTATCATATTATTATAAGCATGTAAAAGTTTATTGACTGTTCAGAATTGACTGCTTAAATATTAAAATAGACATTCATTGACACTCTTCTCAAAAAATCTTTCGAAACAAAATGATTTTTGAAGGATCACCAATACCACTTTAGTCTCAGCGTGGATCGGCTGGGGTCCCTTCTCTGGCAGAATAATGCAACATAACACATGAACACTGCGCTCACACTGCCCTCACACTGAGTGATGCTTGTGGTGCAAATGCAGAGTGACTGTAGAAGTTAAATGATCAGTTGCCACAAGCTCGTCAGAACGAATGGCCTGATTTGACACTCCGTCTTCATTTCTACCTGCTTGTATTCGTCTCTTCCATGTTTGTTCTTCTCCGTCTGTGGCCCCTAATTCTTTTCTTTGTCGCAGGTGCCCCCCGTGGCTCGTGGTCCACCTCAGAGGAGCTTCATACGTCTCCTGACAAGGTGACTAATCCTTCCCATTTCACAGCTCCGTCCCAGTGCATCCTGGGAATGTTTGGACCCGAGTGGATGCACTGGTGTTGTCAAGTGTGATGGGTGACAGGTGGGTGGGGTGTCACCAGGGTTCAAGGTGTTTTTTTGTTGTAACGAACCAGACAGGCACAGCCTCTACTGAGTTCAATGGGGTTATTAAAAATACCATTACCACAGTTGGACATGAAATAAATGTCTATTGTCTTTAGAAATTCAGACATTTTGCATTAACTGGTGAAGATTTGTTCCTTTCTGTAAAACTGTTATTTTCACAGATACTAGAATATTGGGTCTCAGCTGGAGCTTTGAAATAAACCCAGCAAAGTAAAATCATAACCATAAATCACTGTTCACCATGACTTACAATGACTGAATAATTGCAAGAATCAGAGTGAAAGGACAGTTTGCCACAAAAGCCCTCAAGGTTTTGCTGCCCACTTTTCAAATTGTTGCTAAATATTTGTTGTTATCATCTAAAACGTTAGTGTGTATTGTGTTTTATTGTAAAAACTTTGAAAAGTTGCCTGTCAGTGCATTACATTGTAAATGGGGTGAAAATGGCAAGTACATGGGGGTGTTTGAGTCACTGACAATCAGAGCTGAAACTGATAAATACTCATGACTACTGCATACTCATCTGACCCGGGAATAATGCATATTAATTATATTGTCACTAAAAACAAAAGTACATTTATAATCAAGCGTGCCCGTTGTCTTTTGATAAAAAAACAGAAAAACACAGGAAAGATGACTTAATTGAGTGTACAGAGCTCAAGCAAGATGTCCATGTGAGTGTGTGAGGTTTATTACCAGAAATGACTAAACCAAACGTCATCCTTGAAATAATTGACCATCCTCTGGTGACTGAATCACTCTACTGCTCTCTGTCTCCAGAGTCCCTACATCAGCTGTGGGAAGTAACTGCAGCAGGCACAAACAAAACCGCCTCGGAGGGGTCCTTCATGTCATTGGCCCAGAGCCTGGATAAGTGTGGAGGGGTCCGGGCACAGTGGACCCCAAGTACCAACCTCTCCATCTTTGGTGCAATTAGAGGTAGTGTGTTGTGTGTGCTGTTTGTGTGTGTTTTGTGTGTGAGGGGTCCAGCTGTCAGGAGGCCTCTGTCTCCTGCTCCTGACATGTCTCTGATACGCCCCACTGTGAGTCCCTGAGTGTCACACACTCTCCCTGGACACGGTCAGAGCCCAAGGCAAGCTGTCCATCACTTCACACACACCGCATGCAGCGTCACATACTACACACATACAAACACACACTACATTAGGTCTGGTACAGGCCTTCTGGCAGCAGGCTCGTCTCTCTCACTGTCTGTGTGGACGTGGCTGTGGGCCACAGCAAGTCATCCATGGTTCCTCTTATTGTTTTAATCACCTCGTTAGGCGCAGCTAGTCGCCACACTTACTGGCCAGTGTCGCTCCTCTGGATCCATGCCCTCCCAACCCAGTGCTGGTGGTGCCACCAGACATCGAAAGATGCATGATGGGAGGAAAAGGTGGCTGAAAGTGAAGAAATGATGTAGAACCCAAAATGTACCAGGTATAAAATTTCAAATAAGAACAAAATGTGATTCCCCAAATTATGAATGTATGAGGAGTGATGTTTGTTGTTGGTAGTATTTTGAAGTATTTTATGTACTATATATATTCTATTTACAACTCATTACATTATTGTATAATATTATATAACTCATTATATTTCAAAATATAAGGTACAAACAGAAGAAGCAGTTTGGTTCAATCAATGTTATTATGCATTATTAAAAATTCTCTTCAGCCGAATGATTCTTGAACATGTCTATAATTCAGCAGAGAAGCAATACTGTCATAATAATGACACTGATAGCGAAGCTAAGTGATAAGATTTGTTGTAATGGGATTTCATTCTGTTGTGTCTGACATGATACATTTTAAGCACTATTGACCTTTGATGAGTTTTAATCCGAGGTTTACATTTAAATAATCCTCTGTTTGGGCTTATACAAGCAAGATCTTCATCTTTAAACCATTACTGTTCACTTAAACACAAACGTGCGCGATCTCACACTTTGTTTCCATCCTTTATCGTGCGCACACATCTCCGCTTTCCCTTTGCCCACCGCTCCCACGGGAGCGGGAGCGCTTGAGGGCTGAGGAGAGAGAGAGAGGAGTGAGGGAGGGAGGGGGCGGCGTTAGACAATACCATTCCTCAAATATATTCCGACCCTGGAGTGAGCCTTTATTAGTGGGGCTCGTCCGGATCTTATCTTGCACATGACACCGAGAAAGACAGACCGGATTATCCAGAGCACAGCTTCCGATCCGCACGCTCCTCTCGCCGGAGAGCCGCGCGTATATCTCGCCTTTATGCTCCTTCTCATCTCGCGGATCGTGCACTTTCCTCACTCCGCACATCTCTCCTATTGTCTATCCAACCAAGGTTCCGCGCACATAGGACGCTCCATTAGTATTTTATCTCCACATCTCTGATCTCGTGCCGCACTTCAGGACTGCGCATCATTCTCCTGCCTATATGCTTATCCATCTCTAACTCATGGTGCTAAATAGCCAGAAAGTCCCGCAAGTATTCGTATAGCTAACGTTACGCGCATTTTGTGCTTTTACGCACAGTTCAAAACTCACTTTGCCGGTGGGATATGAGTTAACTTCAACTTCGCACCAAGGCCTGTAATACACGACAAGACTTAACTAAGGTAAGTTTTAGTTCATGTCACTAACTTAAATTTATTTATTCATTTTTTTTTTTTTTTATCTTAAAATATCGACTGATGTCAACAGTACATCGCAGTGTTCTGCTGTCAAGTCAGTGTGGCCTTAGCCAAGCAGATGTGTTCATCACACTGTGACAGATGGCCCGTTCTGATTATGGTAATTCAGAAAGGAGAACTGTGCCATTAGAAACGGTCACTTCTATTTTTCATAAAAAAATAAAATAATGTAGAGATTGATTTTTTCATTTAAACAAACTTAATGTCATTGTTCCATGTATTTATATTTTTTGCTTTTCTAATACATAAACCATTTATACAATATATGCTTGTGCATTATTTATGAACTGTAATGTTATTACGCAATGGGTGTAGACTACACTAGAATTTATAAGGCGTTTATTGGCCATTCTGAATAATTGGCTTTAAATCTCAATATAGCCATCCTATAAGAGAAAATGTCTATATTAATATGTTTTGTTTTGCAAGTGAAATAACTGTAACGTTTATGTACCTGTGCGATAGGTTCTTTGGTGAAGTGAGCCCTAAAGCGAAGCAAAAATGATGCTGAGCCCGGACCAGGCTGAGGCGGACCTCTCGTGGACACAATCCGACCCCGAGTCGTTGCTCAATGGCCTGAAGTCTGCGGGGTGCACGTCAGACGAGCCCATGGAGGGTGACGAGAAGGCCAGATGCAAACCTGACCCGCCGCTCAGCCGCGAAGAGAAGCGCAGGAGGCGGAGGGCCACAGCCAAGTACCGCTCGGCCCACGCCACGAGAGAGAGGATCCGCGTGGAGGCGTTCAACGTGGCCTTTGCTGAACTTAGGAAATTACTGCCCACCTTGCCCCCGGACAAGAAACTCTCCAAGATTGAGATCCTCAGACTGGCTATATGTTACATCTCTTATCTTAATCACGTGCTGGATGTTTAGGCTGTTCGTAATTCAAGCGCACTGAACTAAGGCGCATGCCGTGCGTCATTTGGGCTTGGCAAGGCCGTGAGAACAACACTAAAATCCAGTGTTTTGAGCTGCTAGACCTCCTGTCTGTGCTTGTTCACATTGGCACATTTTGATCTGGCCGCTTTTAGAAAATTCTTTAACACTGAAAGGCACACAATTTGCTCCTAACTAGATAATCAAAATGATGTTGACAAAGTAAATGAATAGCTATGATGTTGCGTTACAGAATGTAGTATTTCAGAATTTACTGTCGGCACAAGTGAATCCGTTGCCTTCTCTGGGGTCAGTAAAGGTTCCACCTGTTAGACGCTGTGAGGTGCTGTGCCATACCTTTGACTGAGCTGACACTTATGAATAGTCCAAGTCTACACGCGCAATGGGTGTCTTGAGCGCTTGGTAAGTGTGTTCACAGAAAGGGAAAAGGTGATAGTCAGCAGCTGTAACCACGTTGTAGCAGTTTAGAGTTGACAACCTCAACTTGCGGCAAGTCCTTTGAGCCTTTAGATGCAATAACAATTACATACAATTATATAATATTTAAATGCCTTTTAAATTTGACAGTTTACCTTGCCCAAGGATTATGTGTGTTTGACGCCATGCACACTCTGCCTAATGTGATACAGACCTATTTAGTTTTTTTTAGGAAAACACCAGGGCACGTTCCCCGGTGGGACGTTCGTAAAGGCCGATGTAAGAAATGATGCCGACGAAATAGCTGCTTTAGAACTAGTTTAGCTTTCCGTAATGGGAAAAAAAAAATTCACTGAGTAAGTGCCACTTATGACATATGAAATTGTGACCTTAATCATGTCTCAAAGTGTATAGAATAATTTATTTATCTGTCTTTATATTTAAACTAATTTATTTATTTATGTTTGTTTGTATTGTGGTGTCCTTTGTACAAATTAATTATATTGTTTGTTGCTTCTATATTTTACATATTTCAGCTGTAAAATTGACATTGGAAAGTGATTGTGTTACTTTCAAATTGCACTTTTTGTTTTCATGGGTTTAAGCATAGCAATGGTTATTTGTTTTTAATGTATGTTATGATGTATGTCATTATCTCTTGGTTATATTGTTGTCAATAACAACGATAAGCACTTCAAGATGGCGCGTAATGGCTCCATAAATGTTTATCCCCCTAAACTGTGTAAGGAGGTGTAGAAATTGGCTGTCCTAAACATAATTTCAACCTTAATTTATTTAGGCTAGATAGGCCTGTAATCACACGAATATTATCATTGTGAAACAAAAACTAAAAAAAAAGAGCATCGCCTCCTTACGCTTTGACCAAAAATGTATCTTGAAAGTTAGACAAAATTATCTTTAATTGTTCTATTTATGTGGTTTAGATTAATTGCGTGTTAATTTGTCTCTGCTTTGTATTATGAAACCCAATAAGTAATTTTCTAGTAAAGAAAACATATCCTCTATCCAAAGATTTTCTGTGTCTTCAGGGTTGTGTAGGCTACTTGTTGCTTTATGCAGATCTTTTGTAGTAGAGGTGTCGTGTGACAGCTGGTTTCTAAGGAACAAACTTTTCATATATTCCGGTGTTATTTTTCATTAAAAACAAAAAAACCAAATCAAAAACATTTGCGTCGGTACATGTTTGTTTGTTTTTTAAATAGTGGAAATATATATGCCAAATCATAATGTTGGACTGATACAGTTGAATGTCTTGATGAATCGAGCGGCGTGACGTCAGACGTGCGTGCACCACGGTAAAATAAATAGAAAAAAAATAATAAAATGTACGTGCAGAATAATGGCCTACATGTGGAGTGAGCAGGCGAATTAGCACACGTGGGTCGTGGTAAACACACAGTAACCCAGTATAAATTACGCAAGGAGTGCAGTGATGAGAGCAGATTGGAGAGGGGCAGAAAGTCAGTTTATACTGTACACACACACTGTGGTCAGCAGCTTAAGGCAGTGGTAGCCTACATGTGTGCTCCTGGCTGAAAGGCTCGCTCCCTCCCCTGAGAGGGGGCAGGTGTTACTCCAGACGAGCCAAGACAACCAAATTACTGGCCGTCTGGCACCTCCCGTGGGAAAGCCGGGCAGAGAGGAGAGATGGGAGCGATGGAAATTTATGAGCGAGCAAGCACTGAGATGTAATATTGCCAAATGGTACGAGCAAAAGATCCAAATATTTATATTCATTTGTAATATAGGCCTTGCATTGGCCATTGGTTGTGTCGAAATGGCTTGTTGTCAGGTGCTGAGTTATGTTTTTATCCAAGATACACTGGATTATCATGAGTGAAGCTTTTAAAGCTTTGGTGGTCCCGCTGGGAATCAGGCCCTTCACCTCTGAATGGCCATAAGCTGTCCAGAGAGGAGCAACAGTGTGTTATGTCATATCCATTTATCCCCTTTGAACTATAAGGGACACTTCTCCCATTGTTAGCCAACTTTAGGACATCTGAGCATTTCTTGTCCTTCATTAAGTTATAGCTTTTATTTGTCAGTTTGTAACTTTGCCTCCTCTTCCAATGTTTTCGTCTTGTAACTGAGTTAGTAAAAGTTTGGTGGCGCCTGTTTGCTGTTGCTCAATACAGACACCAAAACAGAACTAATGCAAAAACTGGCACTATTTGGCATTTCTGTCACAACACAATTACTTTGAAACATTAAATAAATGTCTGATAATTGCTCCATTTCCATTGGAACATTGAATTATTCAAACCTGACTGGTCCAATTTTTCAAAATGACATGAATTTGCTCAAAATCCAAAAACACCAATTTGTCGCATCAACAGATTGTCCACTTTGAGAAACACAAAACACGATTCTGCATTTCTGGCATTGCGTGGAGAGAGACAGACTTCTGCCTGAGCTTATTGAATAGAGCAGTCCATCTGTACAACGCCGTGAAGCACAAGGCCATTTGTGCATCTCATCCCAAAGCTTCCGTAGCATCAGTCCTCTTCAATTTATTCTTTAGAAAGCCCAGAAGGGTCCAGGGGAGAGCGGAGGAGTGACAGGCAGGGCGCGCAGTGCTGTGGGGCAGTGGACAGGCCGGTGCGTGTTTGACTACTACACCCTCTCTGTCTGTCTCCTCTTTAGGCTTATGTAACTGTGGAGGCCTCTGAGTGACCATATGCCAAGGAGGTGTATGAAGACAGCAGGCCCATTATCAGAACTTGGACATCCCTTCTCCTCATCACCATTCAGGTAGAAGCCAGGAGCGCGCACACCCTGCTCCACACATGCTCCATTCTGAGAGGCCCTGTAGAAATTGGACTGGGATCTCGAGTATGACAACAAACTGCCATATGTTCACAGCGCGCGGAACAACATTTGGGCTTTTTGTGCTTTCTTCTCCACCTCGTCGCTTGTATTAAGGTTCAAGGCGAGAACTCCCCCACGTCAATATCGCAAACTCCCTCAACCCTCTCCCCCTCCCCTCTCTCCCTCCCAGTCTTGTTGAGGTGTGCTGTAAGAGTGCTCGTGCCCAAGTACAAAAAACCCTGATCCATGTGTTGAAATGCAGCCCCCGGGATGGGCCGCATTATCCCTGCCTACTTCACCAGCAGGGTCCTACGCTGGGGGTTCGGGGCTGGCTCGTGGCCCCTTTGTCTCCAAACAGATGGAAATGGGCGAGAGGAGAAGGGAGAAGTGGAGAGAGAGAGAGGAGGAGGAGAGCAAGGAGGAGTGGCATGAATGGAGGAAGGAGGGAAAGAAGGAGGGAGGGGTAGGGGGGCGATGGAGTCAGTCTGTTGTCATTAAGTGCTGTATTGAAGACCATATCCCCCCACAATGCGTCAGCAGCAGTGGATGGTCCCCCTCTCATTCAGAAGCACGCTCGCACCATCTGTACTCTGACTGAGGGCCCGTCCTGAGGTGTGTGCGCATGCATTAGGCCCGGGCACCAATCTGGACAGCCAAAACGCTCATATTCATTGGGCTTTCCATTTGATTAAGATCTTTGGAAATCTAATTGTTAGGCTTTTGTTGTGAGGGCTGTGAGTCCCTTTTGAGGCTACAGATTTATAATTACTGAGTTAAAAACAGCGCATAACAGATTACATTTTAAAATCAATTTAATCCTATTATAACAAATAATTCTTTGTAAAATGAGTCTCACAGTGAAAGTATTTTTTTCCCTTGCTGTAAACAAGGACGTTAGATTATTAGAACTTCATGAGCAAATTTTTCTAATTCACTATGTTTTACACTGAATGAAGGTCGATGTCACTTTGAAATAAAATACACAAGGGGTCAGTGTCACTTTTTTACTGCAGTCCTTTTAAAATTACAGCACAAAAATACTTATTTCTTGCAATTCACGTTCTATCATGAGAACTTCAATAATGCCCTTTGCTTTGCCCAAATAAGTGACTGAGAATTTCCATCACTTAGTTGATAGAACATGCATTCCCCTTTTATTTAAACTTAATGAAAATAATTTTGTAGTTTTAAAGCCTTGTAGTTTTAAAGCCTTGTAGTTTTGATTGTTCACAAGATAAGACAGAACTTTTGAACATATGATTTTCATGTCATCCACCTGGCTGTGCACCTGGCGCTCCTCTGCCTCCTTCCTCTCCCTCATATGTTTGCGTGTGGTCTCATAAACCGTATCTCTTTCCGCTTCGTCTTCATTTTTACGCGCTTTCATTTTTCTGCCTCTATTTACAAAAAAAAAAAACAAAAAAAAAACTCCTGCTTAACTCATAAACTCCGTGTCTTTGGGGAGGGATCCATCCATCTTCCGGACACCAAATTGAATTGATCTCAGGGGCCCCGCGTCGCCGTCTCAATAGGGGCCATCTGCGCGCGCTTCCCCACTTTGAATAAACCTGAAAAATTGACAGCACGTGCTGCTTCTGCCGCTCGCTGTCACAGGACACGCGTGGCCCACAAAAACGCAGACTCGCGACTATCACCTCCCCCATACAGCTGTGTAATGTGATTTCAGCGCGTTCTCTGCAGCTGATGGGTTCACACACAGCGGCGAGGGCTTTTGATAATTTCAGCTGCAATTTAATAACAACAAGCTGGTGTCTTCCTCAAATGCATCATCTGAGCAAAGTTTTGAAAGACAGAGAGATAAGTCGGATATATTACCAATTGGTACAAACTACATTCATTAACTAATGTAGGTCAGTAGGACTATCTATTTCCCAATAAACTGCACGTTTCCTTGACCAATTACAATTTACATGACCTAATTTCTTATCCCTGTGGCCATATGAGGTTAATCATCGTGGTACAGGCACATCTAATGTAATGGCGGGAGCAGTCCACATGGTGGCGTACCGATCATAAACTACAAACTGCTATGCAGACAAGCTGTACTCAAACAATCCGGGCAAAACTGTTACATTTAATTGAAGTTGCTTGCATTTTATGGACAGCAGCTGTTCATATAGGCCTAGTAATTTTATTTACAAATTTGAAATGACCCAGACATTGCTATTACAAATTAATTTCCCATTATTCCCCATCCATAAATACAGGTTATAAAAATAATATAGGCTTTCTATATGGGTGTTTTTGGAAGGCACACCCTCTTTAGCCCCCATACTTGACATTGCATTGATGTTTATCTGTCTCCCAGTGGAGCGGGGGCTCGGGGTCATGTCCCAGCTCTGACCTCCATTGTGTTCTGGAGGGGATGACTTATATCCAGGAGAGTGTGAGCTGAGAGCGCGCTAAAGGATGCGCTTCAAAGCAAGACAAAATATTGATTCATATACAGCCGTGTAATTGCTGGAGGCATCTGTTGCCGTGTGGTTTGAATGCTGTGTGTTTGGACTGTGAATGAGCTGGCCCGTGCCCCTTTGTCAGACACACAATAGAGCAGAGAAGAGCAGTAAAGTGAGAGAAATGAGTAATCAATCAGACATATAGAGATTTATGTTTAGATTGACTTTATGTTGCCTTATAATTACACTACAGACCAAAGGTGCCATAACATATAGCAAAGGCTAAATGATTCATGTGCTCTTTTACAGCACAATTTATAACCTGTAACAAATGAAATCTCTATTTATAGAATTTATTAGCCAAGTTAATTACAAACTGACTCTGAAACATTGAACAAAACTGTCAAGACTTGCATCTGACACATTATTTACATCAGACACATCCAAATATATTACAGTACATCATATTCATTAGTAATTATAAAATAGATCTCTATACCTAATAATTGTTGGAATAAACTAAAGCATGCATAAGTTAAAGGTACACTGCATGACTTTTTGGTATTGGCTTGTCTCTATTTTATTGTTTTTGCTTGGAATGTTCCACAGTATGGCATCAATCTCTATGGAGACATGTGAGACATGTGATGCCAGTGGGCCTTTTTACAGTCCAGATCTATGCAAGGGTGAGCCCCCTCACAGTAAGAATACATGTTGTTTGCTTGATTAAAATATGGAAATCACAGTTATTTGGGTCATAATTGAAATCATGATTATATGAAATAAAGTTTCAGAAGTTAAAGGTACACGTTGTAACATTTCAGGTGAAGGGTAGGGTCTCCGTGGTGATGGTACTGCTTTGAATATTTTTATTTTATTTATTTTTTTGAGCAATGTAATGCCAGATAGACATGTCTAATGCTGTTGTGTGGAACATTCCAGGTAAAGTAATGGCACATCCATAGGGAAAAGCCAGACCCCACCCCACCAGAAAAATTGCATAATGCACCTTTAACCTGTAAAGGAAGATTAGACTTTTGATTTCATAATACATTTTTCCACCATTAACCACAACAATACTGGTTGTCACAATGAAAATATGATGAATTGCACTACATGTTTAAAGTTTACATTTTACCTGAAAAACCTTGAGCTGCTCTGACAGTTGTTGTGCATCGATCCCTCTTTACAGAGACTTTAAGTGTTTATAGTTGTTCTTGGCAGAGAGGCCGTTTGGAGTCTTGCCATTGTGCTTTTTCAGTGACTGTGGTCAAACCTGATTTGTATCTATGTTTATGTTGTTCTAGTCAGTGGTTTGCAACAATAACATTGATGTAAATGTCTGTAGTAGATACAGCTGCTATTTCACAGCTCTGGGTCAAAACAGGAGAAAGAAAAGTATTACATTCAAATATTAAATTTCACCTTTAGAAATAATTATGTGCATTACTGCTACTCCCTTCGACCCCCCTATCTGTTAGATAGATATACTGACAGCTCATAACATTTGACCAGTATTTTACGAGTATACCATTTACGTTAATTTATACCGGTGCTTTCTATTCCATCTTTACTCATCTCATTATGCAGTTGTTTCCCATGACAATTATGTATGCTCATTTATTTTCAGACTCCCCCTACCGACTGCTCCGTGGACTACACCCCCTGCACTCTGAAGCACTGCCCCCTGTGAAATTCCTGACTGCCAGGGTGATTCCTACGGTTACTAAGGGCTGCTTCCTATACTGTACGCTACCGTGATCTGTGGAGCAACTGTTTTATAACGCTTGGATAAATAACCGACCACGTGGATGATATCCCCGCCGACAAAGGGTGAGTTCGGTTTAATTAGGAGCATACGCGCGATCATATGTATTCTGCAGATGTGTAGCTCGCGGGTTCAGTGGTGTGAGAAGCTCCTCACAGGCTAAAACGTCCTGTCTGCATTCCCGTAGCCGACAAAGATGAGGGTTACCGTACGTCTACCTGCTTTTACCACGGAACAATGGCTGCTGCGCTTCAATACCAGACACGGTTTGTGTTTATAAATGAAAAGAACAGAGAACACGCCCTTGCTGTTTCCTACCTGTATCAAAGGGAACCCTTCAACTTCATCAAAATGCCTGAAAACTGTGGTCAGGCGAATGCGTAAAGCGGCTAGGTGAAGTTTACGCACAAATTGCGTCTTTTCTCTACCTGACTATTGTTCATTGTTCAGAATAATAACAGAGCGTCTGTTCAACTAGCTATTCACAGTCATTACATTGGGTCAGGGGAAAAAGTCAACTGTGTTTCATGCGGTTGAGTGGACATGCAGTAGCCGGCTGCTGGTCCCTGCCGCCTGTCATCTGTGAGTTGCCGCGGTGTAGCAGACGCGTACGGGTACAGTATAACCGAAGAGGCGTTGAAAACTACCGATTATGAAAAATGAAAGTTGTGTGTGCTTTAAACACTGATGTATAGTAAGAGTCTAGACGTGCGCCTTTGAGGCCACGAGAAAACCGGGGAGTTTCCTACGTGTTTGTGCGCTTGGTCACAGGTAGGAGCAGGGCGGTACAGCGTGTTCGCTCCACATCATTTACTTTGATCCATAACAACAATAACATAACTGACAGACTGTTTCTTTCTTTACTTCTCAATGTCGCATTGGTTTGGTAGCAATGAGTGCTACCTAATCAAACACAACTTTGCACGTGTGCGGCAGCTAAGCCTGTTGGACACAAGGGATGGATTAACATGAATGACAGTACATGCAAGCTTGTCATTTCTCCTACAGCTGACTAACTGACATAATTATTGGGCTATTGCCTGTATAATGATGCATAGTCCTCTTGTACACTCCAATTCAATCTTCTATGACCTGACCTAAAAGTAACTTATTTGTATGGAATAGTCTGACTGACGTATGTCTCAACCTTTGTAAGATTTTGAGTAGGACAAACTTAAAACTCATTTCCACTCCATATCTGACATGCCAGAATGAACAGTAAACAATGTTGACATAGTCAGAGCAGCATTAAAGACTGACAACAACAGTTGCTTCCTCACTATTAATTATTCAGGACCCTCATTATCATTTTGACTTTTATGTTTGGAGACAGGCTAACGGTTGTGACAGAGCTGCAGGGAACAGGTTTGATCTTCCCCTGGGTCTGTATGTGCACAGAACAGGCTGCCTTATCTGACAGTGCAGTGTTTCCACTGACTACAACACCTGTCAAATGTTTTGTGATGGGAGATTGACAGCTTAGGTGCCATGGTGATATTATAGACTATATCTGTGACAGTTCTTATAGTGTTTGTAATTGTTAGCTGGCATAATTTTGAAGAGTACATGGAGTGATGGATTAGCTACACATAGTTTTGAGCACTTAATTCTTGTCACGTATCATATATCAAGGGCATAGTGTTACTTTCACACCCACCCCAACATTTTCAACAACCGACTCTTGTTTCCATGGTGAATTCATAAACAAAAAGATACTATCAACCCCATGTTTCTCCATGTGTTGTTGGACCCACTGCTGTACATTCTTTTAGAAATACATTGTAGTAGTTAGTCAGTAGTTGAAGAACAGAAACCACTTTACCTTAAACATAAAAGTGAAATTATTATATATAAGGCTTACTATAAACAAGTAAGCTGTTGGAAAAAGCAACCTATTATAATGTGTTAGGCGAAATATGAAAACCTGTCACTATCTTGTTCTTTAATTATTATTATGTAATAACAATTCAAATGTCAAAACAGCATGATGTTCATCTGACAGTTGAGGATGTGCTTTCTGCTGTTTCCTAGCAACACCACCACCACATAATGCAACAGGTAAATTTGGCCCATAATAAAAGTAATGTATTATTGTCAGACTAGAGCTGAATAGTAGGGCTGTAATTTACTACATTAATTCTTGGTCGACTAAAGACATGCCTTGTGCATTGATTAAAAGTGAAACTGGGTGTGGTGTGACATCAGCAAAAGCTCTCAAAATTGTAGGAATCTTGCACTAAATTTTGTACTAGTAAACAACATCTGGACAGTGCATTCTCCTTTCTGTTGCTGTGCATACAACACCTTATGATAATAATGAATAATTGAAATTTCTGATTGTTCTTAGAAGTATTGTGATTGCAAGATGTTTTAAAATTAGGATTCAGTTCATAGAGGAAAATATCAGCATTACTAAGATCTTCAACATTTGAGTAAAGATACTTTCCAATATAATGCAAGAGTCATATGCATTTCAGAACATGTTTGCAGAGGTCTAAACTATACAGTTACCAGATCGTATACATTGTTAGACTGTATAGAAACAGGATATTTTGTTCTTTGTGGAGATATAACATTATCTAAATAATTCCAACCTTTGTAACTTGCTATTCTCGACCAATCAAGTTGTAATTTCTAGGAATCAGATGGCGGATCAATCGATATCAGTTCAGTCGATATATTATTGGTGTATTCAAAGTTGTTCTGTACTTACTTAAAATGTTAACCAACAGTTACAAACACATTTGTATATTTTTTTACCTTATATTATATTATTGCCTTATATTGTGTTTAAAGGAAGTAAATTATACTTTTACTTTATTACAAGCCAAAATATTGGCATCGTTATCTGAACAGAAAAAGCTTGATCTGCTCATCCCTAGTCATTTCTGTTAATTGTAAATAATGTTTCACCCTAAGCACAGACACATCTCATATAAATAGTTAGACGCAGTTATCAACAACGTGATGATTAATGCGATCAACACCACATCCTAACGCAATCTCCAGATGTACAGCTCTTGTGCCAAAAGCTTGTACCCCTGTGCGTCTATGTGCGAGGTGTTAAGTTCACTGACACTGGGGAATGCTGATTGAATTCCACACAGCTAATGACCCTCATTTGCTCGGCCATGGACAGAGATGCGCCCATGTGACCAGGGCAGACTCAGGCCACCTCTGTTCTCCACATGTCCCAGCCTGTCTTGTGATTGTTGCTCCTTCGCTCCCCCTCACCTAAGTAAGTAAGTAAGTCATTATGATTGTACATGGACAGCGACGTGTCTCTGATTATGAAGTGTTATGATGTGTGTAATAGAGGCACCACAGCCAGGGTGTCATGGTTACGGACCAGGGAGCTTGCAGCTGTGAGAGAGGCACAAAGGAGCTGCAGGGGAACATGATTTAATTTCAATGTGAGATAGAATGGAATTTGTATTTTTGCTGTTGTATATTGTTGTACAGGTCATATTTCTTGTTATTTAGAATTGGGCTTATTGGAGGTTATTTTTACAGTTAAGTTTATTTGATTTTTTCTTGGAATTGATCTGATTCGAAATCAGACATGGGAAGAATACTTTAGAGATCTATTTAGTTACGGAATACTGAATACCTGAATCAAAATGTATTTTGCAGCATATTCAGATACATGGGCCAATCAGAGTACTGTATTCTGAATACTTAGAATACATTTACACCAAGTTTTATTATATTGTAGTGAAAAAAATACAACATTACAAACTGTTTATGCACTAACATGTCTAATAAGAGAGAGAAAATTGCACACGCTGTAACAGAATAGAGTTACTTAAAATTTGTGTTCTGAATATGTATTTTCGGTACATATCTTCAGTTACTTCCCAACACTGTTAAAAATCCTGGTTTAGTCTTTGTTTATTCTCGGATCAGCCCCTTTCCTATTGTGTTAACTATTCCTGATACGTAATTTGCATTCAAAGATTTTCACACATAGGTCATACACTGAACCAGACACTTAGTTGTGAAAGTTGAAGATCTTAAAATAGCCTCTTTGCTCAAATTGGCACAGCTCCCATGCCATGTGCTCCTGCCCGGGTGACTCCAATCAGGGAGAGCAGTTTTGTGTCAGATTCACCACAATGCTCTTTGACCACTTATATGTGTCTCCTACAGAGGAAAGTGCAGTTCAATGGGGTGCCAAAGAATATCTACAAAAGGACCAGGATTAAGTCTCAAGCTAAAGGGGCAACATGCTGCTTTGCTCTTGTAGTCACTGAAAGAAAGAACGCGTGATTGGCTGGTCTGAAAGGAGCTTCCAAATGAAAACATAACACAACATCTCATTTGGTTCATTAGATGCTTAATTTGCTGCTCACTGACTCCAAGAATTAGTTTTCCTACTTAAACTTGTACTCAGAATTTCTTTTGGAATTTGACGACAGAGTTTGATTTCTGAAATTCAATTAGTACAATAATAGTGGCATCACAAAGCTTCAGAAAAATATGCTAGTGCTTTAGTTTATTTTGTCTTGAGGGGATGATTGTTTGCAATTTGGAATAGCAGTTAGTCTCTTTTTAGTTTAATAAGAGTTGCAATACTGTACCTTGTCACTTTACAAATTGTAAACTGTATTTCTAGGCCTGTCACAGTAATTACTAAATTGATTTATTGTTCAGTATATGAAAGCTGGATTTTTTTTTTCGTTACTTATTATGTGTACCTTGTCTTTGTACTACTGGGAAATTTTAAGTAATTTTTGGGCTATACTGTACAATTTAAGAAAGGTTGTAAAAGGTTGAATGAATAACATCTCTGGCTCATAACACATGCAAACTAAGTACTAAAGTGTTTCATTCTGCTATTAATTTATGGTAATTTTTTTAACACTATTGCATTTAGAATAGTTTTTGTGGTTTAAATGTGCTTTAGGCTTATTGTGTCAGTGGTATAAATTAGCTCCAATATTATCGTTTATTGTCTCTCTCTCTCTCTCTCTCTCTGTATATATATATATATATATATGTATTTCTTAGCTTCACATGCAAACTACTCCCCATTTTTACTGCTACTGCTATTACTACTTCTAATACAAAGCCATACGCTTGTCTATAAAAAAGCAATTAGCCTTACTTATGTTACTAACTTTTATGTCCATTAGCAGCTTTGTTTGAAATGGTGACATGTTTCTCTCGGCTTTAACTTGTTGTCAAAGATGAAAGCAGTTCTCTAGAGGGGTATTTGCCTTTCTTGCTAGTCGGATGTTTACTATTTGCTTGGCTCATGTGAGTACGCTCTGGTTGTCACACCTGTTAGCCTGTGTGTGTTTGTGTTGGGATACAGAAAATTCTTGTTTTACGTCTCTCCGCGCTCTCGCCAAATTGTTATTGCGTTTGCTCCTTCTTCAACAAAACAACACTATTTTTATCAAGTGTAATATATGATTTGTAGATAAATTGGCCGTCTTATACCCTTCATGCTGTATTGCCTTGGTAAAAATTCACAGCCTCTTTCCTCGCTGAGTTGCCAGTATTTGCCAGGACAAACAGACATGCCGGCAGCGCAGTAGGGGACTTGGATTACTGCAAAAAAGCTGCCCAGGCTCCCCTCCCGTTTTGACACGGGGATTCCTGTTTCACATCTCACCAGAAAAGTATTGCTCATAAGTGGTCTCACTCCAACACACAAACCACATGAAATATACCGCCTTATACTGCCCGATAGTTTGACTTTTCTGTTTGTTAATACATCGTTAGGAGGCTTTAATTGTTGCTTTCTGAAGGGTAGGGCTGAATCAATGGGGTTTTAACCTGGCTGCCCTCCCATCTCATTTCTGCACTGTGTCTGAACTAGGAGCGTGCACTTGTTTAACCCATTAATCTCCCATTTAGCCATGTGCCATTGCTTTAAGAGGATTAGCTCAGGTGATGGAAACACCTCTTAACGGACCATATTATAACGCAAGAGTTGTAAGCTTACAATATATCCACATTGAGGCTATGAGCTAATTAATATCCTTAATTAACTATTGCAAATTATAGTTCAATAAGCCACCCGTAGTTAAGTCAAGAACCCATAAAAACTCCACATGCTCTGTTACTGGCAATGCAGTTTGGAAAGTGGAAACTGTTTAAAGTGCCTATGACAAATTAGACTACTAATTTTACTAAAACAAAGATAACATCATTAAATAAAAGATTTTTTGCAAAAACCTTCATGCTTGTTTTCCCAATTTGGTTCAAAATTATACTTGCCTGTTGGAAATCATGAAATCACACTAGAGAATTCCAAAATGTTACCAAGCAAAAGAATATTATCTGACAAATACAAATATAAGAAAACGCTTTTATTTTGTTGAAATCATGTTTGAAGTATCAGAAAAAAATTTATTTGTTAAGGGTAAATTATGCAGAACATTTGGATAGAATTCTCCCTAGTGTGACGTTATCCATGTTTTAGAACTTTCTACTTCCTGTAATTTAAAAATTTTCTTCGCTAATTGCTTCTTGGTTGGTGTAAAGTGATAATTCATATTTAGTTTTAATCTCTCCAAATTAAGTAATTAGATAATCAAAAAAAATCTGTCATATGCACTTTAATGACTGGAGTAATGGTAATTTAGACTCCTCCCTAGCTAGTATTGTAGCTCTTGGACAAATATAATTTAATATAAAATATCTTGAGAAAAATAAGGTCTCAATTTACATGTTCATTTATTTAGATATATGGATTTTGCTTCTTACAGAATTTTACAGCAATCACGCTTGCACTCTCAGTTACACTTTAAACTAGAAGATTTCACCAGTTCCTCAGCTGTTCTGCCCCACTGTGCCCAATCACAGTTTTTACTCCAAATAACTTCAAAAATCTCCTGGTTTTCAGTATAGGAACATGCTGCTCCAAGTTGAGTAGCTCGTAAAAATCCTCAGATCACAACTTGTCAGAGGGAGGATTTGTCACTATGCGAGCACTCATGATTCAAGCCTTTAAAATGATCCCGAGAATGAGCCTATCCAAAAATGTTGTTACACAACCTTCAAAGACACTTGTTATCGTCACGGAAACATGCACGCGACATCACTATGCACACACCATACAGATGTGCGGACACCTCACCCACTTCTGCTCACAACTGGGTCACACTGCGCAGAGTATTTTTGGAGCCAGTGATTTGTGCTTCCCTCCCTTTCGCCGATAAGGACTTTGGGGGAGAGTCAAGGAGGGTGAGCACAGGAAACTGGGGAATTGTGTCTTCTCCGTGTTTCTCACTACCTTTAGGAAGAGCTCAGACATAAATCAGAAATACATTTTTAGGCTTAAGTTGAGTGGGGGAAACATAGAAAGTGGATTTGATGTAAGGGTGACCTGTTTTTATGGAGGTTATGTTTCTTTGCCTGGAGTGTTCCACAGTATGGCATCATATCACCATGAAGACAAGCAGGTGGTACCTTGAAATGAAGTAACAGGTCAGATCTGTGGAGAGGCAGTTCCACTGAAAGTAATAATGGAAGATTTCAAATTATTTTCCTAGCAATGAAAACAGTTCTAATTGAATAAATACAAGCTATAAAACACCAATTTCTCTTAGAATATTTGTATTAATATTTCTAATTATTTGTAAAATTTGGGATTGATATAATAACACAATTGTCGTATATTTTTTCAAATTTTCAGTAACAAATCAGGACAAATCAACGAGCATCAAAGAATGTATGTAAAAAAGTCAATTTAACACAAATGCATAAAATACTAGAAGTCATTTTAGAAAGAAAAACTTTGGTCTTTTGTTCTTGGGGTCTGAACTAACCCACTGTAACACTGGGTGGAGTACATGAAGACTCCTAAATAGTAACTTTAAATTTCAAACTAGTATTGATTATTCCTTTCACTGCGCTTCTCATAGTGTTTGCTATTCGGACAGCATTATCTGAAAGGCGATGGGATTTAGGGCTTTTTGAGTTACGTTTTAACTACCTGCTTTACAATTTTCTCCTCCCGCCTGCAGCTCTTGGCCTGTGCAGGTGCATGACTTAGTCCCTGTGGCATTTACAACCAAGCCACACAGGTCCCTTTGGGTGTGTTTACCTAAATATATGCTTTAATAACACTAACGTTGACCTATATTTCTTTTTTATTCATTCAAACTGTGCCTCCATGGTCCCACCTTTATTATTTTTTCCACCAGCTTTGTCAAAACCAGAAGCAGCTCGATAAATGCCCTGTTATCAGATAGTGTAGGCTTTAATGCGGTTGGCCTGAGCTCTCCACCAGCTCAGAGGAATGCACAGGGCCTTGCTTAAGACTGACCCTGACTTTTATTGTATATTGATCTCAGAGATGAAGAAAACAGCTCAGTTTTAAAAGACAGGAAATGAGTTTGTGTAGATTCAAAGAGCTGGAGTAGAATTGAAGTTATTATTGGCAGTAAATTGTATATTTTATTTATTTATTCTTTATAGCAGCAAAAAAACAACAACATTGAAACTTAAAGGTGCATTGTCTAACTTTTCCAGTTGAGGACCTACAAAATACTATTCTCTATGGATATGTTATTGCTTTGTCTGGAATGTTTCACAGTATGGTATTAAACCTTTCTACCTTCATGAAGATCAAGCCAGACCAAGTTACATATCAGATCTGTGGAGAGGCAGCCCCATTCACAGTCGGAGTGTAGATATTTTTGAGCTGTAAAACAACCTGTAATTTAATAATTGTAAGATAGAGCTGTTTAATGTCATACTGTGGAACAATGCTTGGTAGAGCAATAACATATCCATAAAAACTAGGCAGTGTCAGACCCCAAACTAAAAAGTTACATAGTAAACTTTTTCATTAATTTCACTATAGTCATAATAGAATATTTGAAAATTATGTAATCTATTTATACTATTAAAGTAGTAATGTCAAAATTTTTAAATAAACTGTGCATATCAAGTCTTTGATTTGTCTCCCAATCTCAAATGCAGAAGGCCAAAAAGCAAGGCTAAACAAGTACACTTAGAAGCAGATGATTTACTGTGGGACTTTTAAAATTATATTCAAATTTTAGACAAAATATATGAATAATATATGTTTTAATATCACAAAAGTCAAATAAGGACATTGTCTTTATTCTCTGCTCCTCATTTCAAACTCTCATTATCTTGGTCTCAAAGCTGCGCCGCCTTCATCTTCTTCAAGCTTTTCGAGTGAACAGGCTGCTTTCATGTGTCATCTGAAAGCTCGTCAGTGTCAGCCCTAAATTGTTTGCGTGTGTCACAGAGTTGAGGCCGTCAGCTGTTTTGGGAATAGGAGCAAATTGCTGTTTCACTGCAGCTTTTTTCTTTTATCTGCTCGACTCAGCTGGAATATGAACCTCCTGAGAGAAGCAGAGAGCTGTCACTGTGCACTCTGCTGCTGAAGATTGGGTTTAATGCAGCTGCAGCCAAAGAAAGGGACTTTTTAAGGAGAAATCAGAGCGCATAGAAAAATAGCCACCTGAATGAATATGTTACAAATTCCCACTTAATTAAAAGTATTGATTTCTTCACTTTTTTTATCAGTGCATCAGAGCTTGTTTCTTGTGCTGAATTCTCCATTTGTCTGTGTGCCCCCTCCCACAGGTTGATGTTTCCTCACCGGGTGCCCCCTCCGCCCCTTTCAAGCCTGACTGCTGACAGCTCTCCACCTTTGTGCGTCTCCTGAGTATTGATCTCCCCAATCTGGACAAGATCAGCGCACACGGTCCCGGCGCGTCAGCCAGCGGTCGGGCTGAGCACCTGGGGCCCATGCCCAGGCAGGAAAGCGTCGCCATGGACACTGAGTCCACATACTCGGGCTACTCCTACTACTCTGGCCGGTCCCGGGGGTCACATCGGCATGGGTAAGTCCCATCTTCACCATTGGGTAAAAACATGACATTTATTAAAAAGAAGAAGAAACACATCTTAAAAAACACAAGCCCTGAGTAATTCTTGACTAAAACCCCATTGAAAAAGTAAAGGAATCATATACACTTATTCTGGTTCCACAGGAGTATTTCTGCAGTGTTGAAAACTTTTGTTCATTTGTAAGGTTGAAAAAAACTTATCCACTCAAAAAGTTCAAAATTATTAAAAGTACTTATTACCACCTGGAAAATTAAGATAAAAAGACATGTTTCTGCCCTTTGGCCTTCATCAGGAAAAACTGTTAGTTAATAAAGACTTTTCATAATTTTGTACTTTTTGAGTGGCTCGGCATTTTTTTTTTTACTTTGTATTTGATACTGGTCTCTACACTGAAGAAAACCAAAAGGACAATTTTACACAATCTATACGCTATGTATCAGTACTTAAAATTTCTTGCTGGTTGTTTTGTTCAGAAATTGACTTTTTTGTTGAAATTTCGTAGTAGTATCATGTCTTTCAACAAAAATATTGACCTATCCAAAATGGGAAGACTTTATCTGAAACACTATGACAAAAGGAAGTTTGAATATTTCCACATACAGTGACACTTTCTCTGCCCTTTGCTTATACCTTCCTGCCCTCTGGCTCCCTCCCTCCATGCCACTCTCCCTCTGCTCCACCTCTCCCTCTCTTTTCCTCTCTCCCTCTTTCAGTCTCCCCCCCCCCCCTCTCTCTCTCTTGTATCATATGTGTGATGGTCTGTCCGTGGCGGTGTAGGGGGCATTAGCCTGTCAGCGTGCAAATAGCCCCAGGAAGGCAGAGGAGACAGGTGCTGAGGAGGTCCGCCCGACTGATGGCTCAGCGGATACGTGGAGCGCCTCTCCCCACCTCCTCCTCCTCCTCTTCCCAGTGCTGCATATCTCTTCTTCACTGCCACCTGTTGCAACTTCAGATCCTTTGGCTTCCCTCAAGGACCTCTGGAAACATGAGAGCGCATATACATGCTTTCCTCCGGCTTCTCTTAAGTCTCTTTGTATCGCTCCTCTTTCACTCCTTATCTCCGGTCATGTACGTCTTCTGCCTCCGTTCATCCCATCTCACCCTCTCCTCTGCTCCTGCACTGCTCCATGTGTCCATTGAGATGCAGCCAATGCCCTTCTCTGGTTCGTTCTTGACCTCTTCTCCTCCTCCTCCTCCTCCTCCTCCTCCCCCCCTTCTCCTGCTCTCCGAGGATGGACTGGTGTAGCACTTGTTCACTCACATTCCTCGAGAGGAGGAATGCGCTCCCTTGGCTTGCGGTGACATGAAGTTAGATTGGTCACACTTGAGTTTGACGGTCAGCCTGAAAAGTGGTGGTGGATGTGACACTGGCATACAGCCCTTTGCCCTCTTTCCCGTCTCCTGTTCCTTCAGTTTTTTGAATCCATGGGAGAATATTGAAAGGGACATATGGTACCTCCCTGCCAGGCAATTTTTCTGCTCCTCAGCTCCTTGTAAAACGGAGCCAAAGCCACCAGCTGGCCTCTTAATTTGATAAACAAAAGCAAATCGTTGCCTTTGAAACCCCTCGCGCTTCCATGGTTGAAGGTAATCTTTTTACACTGTGGGGTGCCACGCGTGTAGCTGCTTTGCATCACTGTGGTCTAATTACACTAACGCCAGGGATAGCAACAGTGGGTTTGACACTTGTGGGCACTGGGCATACATTCAGACCATTTACAGTTGCATGTCTATATGGGCAGGACTGCGTTTTGATTTATTTAAAAGTATCATATTGTAGTAATAATAAAGCATTAACTAGGCCTGTCACAATTATTACTACATCAACTTATCATTCAGTGCAGTTGGAATGAGCCGATATTTCTTGTGAATACTTTTTCTTTGCAGTAGTGGGGACATTTTTTCCATTTTTATGTAATAATGTAAGATTTGAGCTGCAGAGGGTAGAATAAATAACTTCTGTGGCTAATTGTCTACTTTTTAATGACACTCTCTATTTAAAACTGGTTTACAGGCATTATCTTGCTTTGTATCACTGGCATAAAGTATCTTCAATATTATCATTTATCGCAGTATTTCTCTGTAGTAATACAGTATATCATGCTTCAGTATTTGTTATTGTGACAGGCCTAGCATTAGTCTTCCCCATACTCAATAGTGTGGTTCTTTAGCCACAGTTGCCCTTGGGTAGACTGACAGTAGCATGGCTGCCAATCTGCACCTATGTCTTCTCCAACCACCACTAATCACTCACTCACACAAGGCATTCACATATAGGCAAAGTGAATGAAGTTTCTTGCCCAAGGACACAACACCAGAATGCACTGATTAGAGCTTTGGTTTTGTGGTTTAGAACTTCTGAGCTTTTCCTTGAGTTGTTTTGATCTCAATAGTGGTAAGAAAATTGAAGGGTAGACAAAATGATAATGAATGAACACACACAAGAATTCATTCTTGACTCTTTGCATCTTGTTTATTTCACAGTGTCATTGTCTGTGATGATTGTCCATTTTTCCAATGTGTTTTTTTAACTTTAAATGGCAAATAAACTAACATAATCTAACATTCATTCACAGTAGACAATGCCTTGTTCTTATCAGTATTCAGTCTCTGTTAAAAAGTTAACTTACTTAAATCTGAATCCTTACTTGCATTACTGCTCAGGCCAAATTCCCATGACCCCGTAGGTTCCATCTTTAACAATGCTGCCTGGACTGCACATTAAGTAGAACCAAACTTGCTGATCTTACTTCTTCCCTTTATTAGTGTGGAGTGGCACTGTATAATATCTCTGCAACTTTCACCAGCTGTGTCTAAGCAAAACAGTAAAATCAAGAAGGCAGTTGTTTCTGTCATTATGGAGTATGAGAGCTCAACCTCATTTATTTTTCATTGATTCAGAATCCAGAGCTGTATAATGAACCATGGTGGAGTGAATTAACATGATTTGGAGTCCTTATGCTAACTATTTCATTACCGCATGACCTCTGGAGAGCCCATGACATTTGGGGATAAGATAATATTATGCTGTATGAAGCCATTGGTTTATTTAATACAAATATTGAAAAAAATGTTAAAACATTTTTTAAAGGTGCACTGCGTGGTGAATCACGTTCTAGTTGAGGGTCCGCCACCTGTTTGTCTCTCTGGAAATGTTCTATAAGAGAGACAGGCAGTTTACAGCACTATGCTACATTACATTCAGGTCTGTGGAGAGTCGTCCTTATTCACAGAAGGAATTATTGTATTTTTGAGCAATAGAAACACTCATAATAAATACATGGTAGATGGATATGTTTAATGGGAAAGCAATAACATCTCCATGGCGACAAGGAACTAGCAGACCATCCACCAGAAAAGTTGTGCAGTGCACCTTTTAACAGTTAAATTGCTGAGTTTTTTATGTAATTAAGTTCTGAATATGAAAATAACTTTATATGGAAAAATTCACATTACCAGCTCCTAATGTGGAAAATTGCTTCATCTGATTGGTGGAACTTCAATTATATGACAGCTCACAGTGTTTGCCCAAATTCAAGGCAAATTTGCATATTATTATAAGTAGGTCAGTGCATTTATGAGGATGTCTGAGCACAGCAGAGAAGTGGGGAGTCAAATTTTCAGCATTGTGTATCAGTGGGTTCATTTTAATGTGGTACAGCCACTTTCAGCTTTTGTCAGGTTTTGATTAGTCTGTGCAGGTGCAACGGGAACTTGGATAACTCACTCTCACATTGCATTCATATAGGCAAAGTGAATGAAGTTTCTTACCCAAGGACACAACGTCAGAGTGCAGTGATCAGAGCTTTGGGTTTGTGGGTGAACTACCAAGCTTTTCCTGGCTGACTTGAATTGTTTTTATCTTACATCTCGATCCTGGTAAAAAAAAAACTGAAGGGTAGCTATAATGACACACGCAACAATCCACTCATAACATTCTTCTATTGTAGTGACTGTTAAATAAGTGAAAATGAGTATTTGGCCATTGCTAAAGACCTGAATCCTGCCTTCTTTGTAGTCAACTAAAGAAATTCTTGGTTAACTAAAGAGGGATGTAGAAAAAACTCTCAAAACTATACCTTGCCATGAAATATCCAAAAGGTAAATTCATTTCTATTAGTCACTACACCCAAGAACTCACTGTATTAAAATGTGCAATCCAGCTTTATTATAATTATATTTAGCTGACCCTCACCTGTATAAAATAATTTAGGCCATAGCATATCTGTATGTATTTGGGAAATCAAATTTTCAGTATTGTGTATCAGTGAGCTCATTGGAAAGTGTTAGGGCCACTTTCAGCTATTGTCAGGTGTGGATTAGTCTGTGCAGGTGCAATGGAGAGCTTGGATAAACATCAACAGTAGTCGCATCACCACCTTCTCTGTCCAATTGCTTTTCTAATGATCTGGTTTCTTAATGTGACTTGCTCATGAGTTTGAAAAGTCTTCAGAGAGCGTTTGGTGGCTGGGTTTTGACTTGATTTCAGGTTGACCCATTTGGCAGCAGTTATGATTGCACTGCACATTTGGCTGTGGGTTCGTGCATCCACTCCAGGCTCGGTGTCACACAGGTGGGTGGAGTGGCCTGCCAGGAAGAGAGGGAACAAATTGGTCCACAGACAGCTTGCCGTACCCCTATTGTTGGCACCACTTTGCAGCTCTTCCTCTTCTCTTTCTAAATGGCGAACACGATCACAGACACTCATTCTCAGGTGTTAGATGAAACTGTGGCTTCCAGGGTCTAATTGGCATCGCTCTGACCAAATTCGCCAGGTATCCACGCCCTCACGTCACCCTCGCTCCACCCCGCTCCTCTCCCAAAGCCTGCCCCATTTCCGACATCCTCACTGGAAGTCAAGTCCCATTAATCAAATCATAGCACCGCACTGTTTCGGAATACCAACAAGGCTGTGCATGGTAATGAAGCAGGAAGGATGTGGGTGGGGTAACCAGGGCTGTTGCTCCATGTGGCGGGCGCAGGAGTGAGAGAGGAAGGGGGCTGGGGGAGGGGCTGAGACACAGAGGCCGATCTGTTCAAACTACTGCTGTGCACCCGCAGGTCTGGTCCCAGTGCACATCCATAACACTACATTAGTCTCCACTGCACTCTCACACCTAGTCCAAGAGTCATCACATTTACAAGTTCCACTGGCTCTTCTGCTGCCATGTCTCACCCCAGAACCAGGTGGTGCACTTTATATTGGGCACCCACTGTGAATAATAATTTCCATGGGGTTGAAAAATGATTCATATTGCAACATAACACAATAATGCAAAAAATAATTATATATTATTACTTTGCAGTTGATGTCATCAACATTTCCTGGGGGTGTGATGCTAACTGTAGGCTCTACTTTCTCTGAAGCTTTGTTACTCAAGTTTTTTTCATTTGATTTAGCTGAAACTACAACAGGTGAACTGATCTGTAATTTGCTAATGGCCGGATCAGTGTTTCCCGCAGCACTTTATAGTGGGAAGTCGAAATGAGGCAGATTTTTGTCATGATTTTTTACCTAATTTACTTTTGTTTTGGTAATTATTTTTTTTACACCTGTTAACTACTAAATTAGTTATTTTGTTTTAATTTAACTGAATTATTGCGTTAAAAGGTTTACTAAAATATTACAAACATATAGTTACTGCAAAACCCATCATACTTATTCAATTTTTTCCATTTTTCTTCTCATACTGAACAAGTCTACCTGGCAAACAACTGAACTGCATTGCCCATGGATAGACGTATTTGAATGCTCTCCTAGTTTATGCCCTCGCCCTCTCCTGTTACTTAAAATTCTACTGTCTGCTTCTCAGCTTTGACCTAGTGCTGGTGCCAGGCTGTTTATAATTCCACTCAGGATTTAGAAGAATGATCACGTCTTTCTGAGTCTCACTGCTCAGGTTCTCAGTGCAGTCCCTGTCAGTTAATCGTCAGACAACAATTGAGTGGTAATTACTCTCCTTGGAATAACCCCAGACTGGAGAGATGAGAGCAGCCTTAATGACATTTAAAGCAATAATCCTGTCTGTAATGTAGTTAAAGTCTTGCATCATGTTAGACTGGCAGTAAGGGTGAGACTATTTTCACATCATAATTAAAAAAAAAAAAGTATTAATTGTATTTGCTGTACAGTTTGCAAGATTATCTGGTTAATCGATAATTGTTTGATCAGAGAGAGAGCGCGCGAGAGAGAGAGAGAGATACTTTATTGATCCTGAGGGAAATTCACGATTTGCTGCAACAACATTTACACTGCACTTCTCGGTCACCTTTGTGTATCAGTCAGAGGTGTCTGTGCAATTTAACAGAAGTACTGCTCAGGTAGATTCAGCTTATCTGTGTCAGGGCAGCTGGACGAGAGAAAGAGCCCAAAGTGTCCCTCTTCTGGGTTCAGCAGCATTGCTCAAGTCAAAATAGAACTAGATGTGAAAAAAACTTTGAATGGATTGTTATCTTACTGTTTATTTCAAATTAACTTTACTTTAACACACAAAAGTTGGATTTCTTAAAGCTGGTCACAGACTGCTGATCGAATAGATAAGGACAATGAACACGGATTAAGGTTTTCATTCCGCACTCTTCTCTCCAATTTATGTCTCTCTTTTTTAATTTTAATCTTCATGATTATTTATGTTTTGATTTGTTTTTATTATGATTTTAATGTATTTCTTATTCTGTAAAGCACTTTGAATTACTTTGTGTACGAATTGTGCTATACAAATAAACTTGCCTTGCCTTGCCTTGCCTAATTTCAGTGTTGTGGCCTTGGTGTCAGTATTTGTGAATAGTACAATTGTGATGTTTCTTCTTATAATAATGTTAATACTCAGTTTTATATGGTGACCTCCTTATTTTACTGCATAGTTTGTACCAGCTGTTTTGATTTGGTTTGGAAACATAGGTTGTGTGTAAATCTAGCCAGCATAGGAAGTGTGAGAGTAAAGACGGAAGCAGCCCAGTTAACTCCCTTTATTCAGAACACTTGGAGCCAGTACAAGTCTATTATATTACAGCCCTGCACGGCCCTCCATCACTCTAGTTTCCTTCATTACCGCAGAGCAGGATATCCTCTGCATTATGGCCTATGACGGGGCTGAGAAAGCAATCAATAGGCAATCTGATGGTATTATTTATGTGGCTCATGTACTTGTCAGTATGTATGCTGCAGCTATTTACTCTCTGTGAGGCCTGCAAGAAACTGTAACCAAGAAACTCAACACATGGAGCAGTTTAAACAGTTAAGTTTATACTAAGGTTGTGCTTATATACGTAACCTGGAATGACTGTTTTAGCTTTATTTAACCAGGTCTCACTGAGAGGGAAATAGAAATGGAAATCCTCTTCTGGAACTAGAGGGAACCCTATCATATATACTTTTTAAAATAGAGATTAAGGCAGTTATCATTCAGCAACACGTGTTAGTTTTGCATTATACTTGTTGAAGCAATACATGCAGACTAGCAAGTTAATATTCGAAAGTTTGAATGTTTTTGGAGTCAAATGCCCCAGATACTATAAGCGAGTTAAAATTAAGACAACTGGATTTACTTAGATTATTTTTTAAAACAGCATTTTGCTATAAATCTTATAGCTTCTTTAGGGCTTATGTAGGTAAATCAAAATGTGCATCAATTAACCCCAGATACTCTTATACAAAAATAAGAATAATTTTAGATAGGCACAAAGATTGAAATTTATTAGGTAAATGACACCTCTCAACCAAAAAAATATTAAAAATGTTTTGCTGAATACAGAAACCTCTTATACCTTAACAGTGAATATTACTTGTGTTCATTTCATTATAAAGGACATGTGGTGGAGGGCAGGGATGAGGGATTAGCGGTAGCTGTGCTAATGTAGCCACTATCAGGGCACTGTGCCATGTGGAGACCCGGCGCTCACTCCACACACAGGATTATAGGGCTGTAAGTGCACGAGGTCCCCCCCTCTGATGGAGCTCATATGTTGCAGCGCACGGCAACAAGAGGGCCTCGCTGAAAAAGCACTGTGAAGATAGGGGAGGGGGAGAGGAGAGGGGCAGAGGGGGAGCATGGAGAAAGAGGTGGAGATATATGGGCCAGAGGTCATGTAAGCGTGACACGTCCATTGACAATTATAGGAGGAAACAATACTTGAAAAATATTGCACAAAATTGACTCTTGTGAGCTTTTAGCCATGTTATAAAACTGATACCTCTTCAGAAACATACCCAGAATTGTTTCATTCACACATGGTGGAGTAATCCTGCATTATTAGTCTGTTTACATCTCCAAAGCTCAAAATGTTCTGTTCCATCTTGTGATGTCATTAAGTGGTAGTTTTTAAGTTAACAGCTACATTTACCTTTAGTTCAGTAGAGATTGGCAATTCTAGGGCTGAAATTATTCAAATGATTCTAGTGAAGGTGTACAGAGTTTAAAAACACAATGCAGCACTTCTTGTTTTACCGTATGACATCACAAGGTGGAACAGACTGTTTTCTGTTTGAGAGAACTCAGCCTACATATGCAGGGTTTGTGTGTTAAACGTGTGAATGAAACGAAGTACAACTTCAATGAGGAATGTGTTTTCGATGGAAACAACAATATAACAGAAATCAAAAAATAGCATAATATGGGTCCTTTTTCCCCACCTTTACACAGAGATTGGAAAGCTTTTCTTACTACAACACAAGTTTAATTTTCCATATAGGCACTTCACCTACAGCATTTTCCTTTAAATTCAAGTTCAATGCAATTATATTGTCTGGCTGTCATTTTCTATCAACTGCTTTCTTCTCCTCTCGTTATAGACTTAGACTATTGGACAGGTCTCTGTGTGAATATTGTGAACACAGTAGTAATTGGACTGCGTTATTGAGTGACTGCACAGCCATACAGACCCAACAATTGAACACTGATCACAAAATGAGAACTACTACAAACTACAGAACAAAATATGCTCCTAAAACCCTTTTCTTCAGTTTCTTTCTTCAATTTGTCTAGTTTTATATTTCTCTTGTATTCACTTGCAGCACACATCTGTTATTGAGCTTCAATTAAACACGGCTCATTGGAGTTGCCACAGAAAAGCCAATTAGGAAAATCATGACTGTGACTTGAGAATATAAAGCAAAGGTTTCTATCAGCTCAAGAGGGTCTATTCAGATCCTATGGGCTTCCTACATGTTATATAGTATCATTTATAATGTTGTGTATCAGGTTACATATTTAGAGAGAAAATGACTTATTTTGAAGTCAGTGATGGGATGAAAAATGTATTTAGTTACAGAATACTGAATACCCAAATTCAAATGTATTTTGTAATATATTCTGATACATGGTCCAATCAGAATAGTGTATACTGAATACTTTGAATACTTTTACATCGAGTTGCATTGAAATTACAGTGAAAAAACTTGATATATATTTATAAACAGCTTGAGTTTTTATTTTGCATTAACTTATGTCTAATTAGAGAAGGAAAAATCATACACAGACACATACATTGCTAAAATTCAATTATCACCATGTATTCCTTTTAATTAAAAAGTTAACTGTATTCTGAATACCACCAATTGAAAGAGTAACTGTCCCGGAACACATTTAGTCAAAATTTTTATTAAGAATACGTATTTTTGGTACATGTATTTAGTTACTTCCCAGTACTTTTAAAAGCTTATAATAATACAATGAGCAACAAAGTCTAATTTTGTTATGCCTATATAGTCCAGGTTGTTTTTAGACTATGGGGGAATATTTTAGTTTATGACCATAGTTTCCTGTATTAATGGGAAACAATGGTGATGTAAACAGCAACCATTTATCCACATGTTAGCCACATTGTTTTGTTTTTCTTGCAGAGAGAGAAGTCGGGACCGGCACAAATCGCGCAGTAAAGACAGTCGCTCAGAGAAGTCTGTCACCATCAACACACCACCAGCCGAACCACTGCTGGGGGACTCTTCTGTGCGAGGAGAGCCCGTCCAGGTGAGCCTCTCTTGGGCTTAAGGTCGCGCACAATCACCCCTCTGTCTCCAGACCTCCATTTCCTGTAGGGAGAGCCAGGCTGATTCCTGCAGGATTTGGAGCAGAGGAGATTTATCAAGCACTAGTCGAAATGAGGGAAGGAAATGATTGTGTTTAGTCCTTTGGCAAGCCATCTGGTATTTAGGGGCAGAGGGCACGGGGGCTAGTCCACTTTTGCAAGTCTAGGCTCTGGTATGCTATTTATAACACTACAGCATTTCTTCAAACTAGTCTAATTATTTACAATTGGAACATTTATTTATATAATTTGAACAAAGCCAGAGATTATAGTTAATAGCTTCCTTTACTGAAGCCATGCGTGATTGTTGTGACACATAAGGTAATTTCTGGATTATGTTGCATTGATAAAATACCCTTAAGAGGTTGTTAACAAGTTTAAACATGACATTATATACAGTAAGGCAGCACTCAAGGTTTCGAGTCCAATTATAATAATCCTGATTGACAATTTATGGGCAATTTGTTTTTAAATCTTTAAATTGTATCAAATCATATTCATTTTCTGCTGTCTATATATAATTACTTTTCATTCGTAATCTCATAATCTTTCTCTCAATGCTGAAGTGTATACAGTCCATTGATTAGCAACAGGCTGTCTTATTTAGATGCGTTCCGATATGACTTGGTGCCGTGACGATGAGAAATTGATTTATTGTCCTGTCTGGCTTCTGGCAGGTGTTACATTTTATTATTTTTCCATTTTAATAAAAAGAATAGAGACATTGGCGCTTCTTTACTCACACAAGCTTAGCCCCTCTCTCAGCCAAAAGTGTCTGGCTCCATGTCCTTCATCAACAAAAACCACAGAACACAGAATCATCCACTACTAATGACCTACTTGGCACTTCCTTTTGCTGGAGGGGCTAGTCGCTTGTGTTACTCACCTATCATGTGGTTTTAGTATAGGTGGGTGATACTGACAAAAATCAATTGATACTTTGATCCTGATACTAGAACTAGAACTATACAACACATGAGCTGATTTGTGATGCTAAGTCCCTCTCAAATTCCATTGGTATCACAAGCTAGCTAGCATTAGCTGACAGTTTTTCAGTTAGTTACTCTTACCTTTTTTGTTAAAAATCAAACACTTAAACAGGATCATGAATGCTCGTATTGATCACAGGCTCCTGAAAATGTGTTGTTTAAATCCATTTTGCATTTTATGTTTTCAGGTTTCAGGTCATCTTAAAACGTTTTTGACAGTGTTTGCTCACATGTGCATTGTGTCTCCATGGTAACTCCCAAACATTCCACCATTAGAAATACATTTGCAGCACCCCCAGCATGATGTCACTGCAGAGTATCAACACCTCAATAGGGCTGAACGATTTGGAAAATAACTGTAATTCTCTAATTGTGATTTTTCTGACAAGCAGTTTATGTTAGATTCACAATATATGTTTAAGTAATAGGATTCTGTCCATAGCTCACATTTAAGAACATCCAGAATTGAAAAACAAGAGACTGAAACATGAACTGCAAACAAAGACAAGAATAATATTTTGAAACATGTTTGTACAAATCTAAACTACATGATAGCTGTCTTTATGCAGAATGAGACAGGGTATGCTGTTGGTGGAGAAAATGTTGGTACTTCAAAAATTGCAGCCTTTGTGATTTGCTAATTGCATCCTTTCAAACTGTAGTTTTTACTTCAATATTTGTGGGCTTTCTTTCTATATCAATGCTCAGATAATAGTTTTGCAATGCTTTTGAAAGGTGCTAGCTTGTTACCTTAATTGAAAGTTTGCACAGCTAGTTTCTGCTTTTTATTGTCTGTTTTTGCCTCATTGACATTGCTATAAAAACAAAATTTGTGGTTTAATCTTGCAGACAGTACTGTGTATGGCCTATTTAATTTCAGAAAGCATGTCGAATTTAATTTTGTAGGTGGAGACTACACTTTGTTGTTCACATCTTATTCCTGCCATGGCTTGCTGTTGCTTTGCTGTGATGCTGGGCGGGACTGTTTGCCTGAGTGTGTAATCAGGGCTACAGCAGAGTGAGAAAGGGCTTAAACCGTGTGTCTGTGTGTGTGTACCATTTGCATGTGGTGTTCACATTGTGCGTCAGTCTGGTATCAGTGCGGTGCTTAATCACAGAGCAGGCTGAGGGAGCAGGGCAGCGCTCCAGGCAGGGATGTCCTCAGTCTGCCAAAGCTAAAGTTTCCCAACAATAAGACATGACTAATGAAATGTATGAGTGGAGAAAACTGTTCACACCAGTGTAGTTTGTAAATAGTAGCTTGATTTTCCAAAATGGTTTCTTGAGCTGTCTTCTTTGTCAAAAAATTTATCATTTTAAACTTATTGGTTTTCTCTATTTGGGTGAGTTACTGTAGCCATCCTTGACTGATAAAATAAACGGAACTGTATTAGCTAACTATATAATATTAGCTATTGTAATCATACAAATAGAAGTCATTAATCTTCTTAAAAATGTAAGGTAACTGCAGCCCTCAGACCAGCCTTTCTTGGCCCTCATGCTTCCAGTTGGATTGGCCCATACTTTTTACTGCAAGTTTTTGAAAATCTACCTTGATAAAGCCAATAACAACTATTTAATGTGTCTTACTGAGGATCTAAACATGAACAAAGGTCTAGTATCTCATTTTAATCTGTTATATATTCACATATTTGATGCATTCACTGTATTGACCTCTAGTCTATCTATGGCCCTCAATCAGCCCTCTGTTTTGTTTGTGTTTCAATATGATGAAAAAGTTTGGGCACCCCTGCTCTAAGCTATATAAAGCAACCCGGTGCTCTTAACAAACATTGGTAAAATTTGAAATCATTATATCTTTTTATCTTGAATTGGTTTCATACTTTGTTTGACAGCTGTCGTAAATTATCAGATGTTATGCAGTTTTCTTTGAGTCATTACCAAACATAGCAAATAGAGTTCTTTGTATTGACTCCTTTCTGCTTGACTACCGTAAATTATCTAAAAAAAGAACACCGTAAATTCTCTTGTTGCATTGGATACAAATTACAAAGCCAAACAACCAAGCCCAGTTTCTACTCCATATAACCCTGTGATTGCCATTGATTGCTTTTTATGTTCGTTTAGCTTTTCCAGCAAGTTAGACTTTTGTAAACAAGCCAAATGCTGTAGGCGGTTTACTCATGTGAATAATACATAGAACTGAGCGGTCTTGACATGGGCGAGCACGCTGTCAGCAGACAGTGAGAAACCTGTCTTTGGTTTTACTGAAGTACAGCTAAATCATGTGAGTAATTGGTTTCATTCACTTACAAGAATGTGTTGATGTTATAATTCCAGATGGCGGGACAGGGGCTATGTACTAGTAAGTCTGAAGGGAATTTTGAAAGAAATATCCAAACTGATGATCCACAAGTGTTAAAATGTATCATTATTTGTCAGGGATAGGCTCAGCAAAGTTGTCATATTAATATCAAGGCTTAAAGTCCTTTCAACTAACAACAATCACGTATTTTGTGTTGAATAAAGCCACCACTTTCAGAAGCTATTGTGAAAAAATGATGCCTCTTTTGTTTGTTTAAGCTGACAAAGAATACATTGAACTTTGTGCCAGTTTTTTTGTTTCATGTGGATAGGCCCAGTATTACAGAAATATTAGCCATAAACCAACTCTTCCACCTGACCTGGTTAAACAGCAAATGCCACCATAGAATGACCTGATCTCCAGCTCAGTATTAAACTTTAGTGATTTTAAAATGTCATGTGAGCACAAACTGTTTAATACTTTGCAGCTGATATCATCAACTTTCTCTGGGGGTGTGATGCTAACTGTAAGCACTGCTCTGTCTGAAGCTTTGTTAGACTTTAATCTGTGCTTTATTTTAACACAATCTGAAAGAGCTGACTTTACTGGAACTACAACAGGTGAAAGGATTTGTGCTGTTAAACAAATCTCTCACATATAAAATTATTAGCCAACACTTTTCCAGTTAGTCACACGCACCTTTTTTGTTGAAAATCATACACCTAAACAGGACCATGAACACTTGTTTGAATCACAGGTTCCTGACAATGTGCCAATTAAAATGATTAGTTTATTTCATTTTGTTTGTTTGTTTGTTTTCAGATGATCATAAAACTTATTTTTGTAGTGTTTGTTAATGTGTGCCTTGTGTCTTCATGGTAGCTGCTGAACATTCCACAATAGATATATATGTAGAACACCCCTAGCGTGATGTCACTGAAAGTTGCCGCTACCCTACTATTACTGCTGCATCTGCGTGAATATTTGTGGTCATGAGACGTGAGGTTTGGACCAGGCTAGCATGGGTTAGCGTGGGTTAGCGTGGAATGCTAAGAGAGCAGCTCTGATGTGGCTGTGGCATTGTGTAAAGTGTCAAACAGAAGAAATGTGATCCGTTTAAACCAGAACACATTCTCAGAGCATTAGCGCCTCATAGTTTCACCGCTGAGAAAGTGCTGTGTAGTTTATATTTAGAAAGTGTTTATGCTTGTGTTATTAGCTGATTATTTTTAGGTACAACTTCTTTCCTGTCACACAATCTGAATTTAACATTGTATTTGGGTTCAGTATCTTGGCTTTATTCGTTGACTTTAACCACAAACATCAAATGCCACAGACATAGCAAAGTGGTGAATACAAAGATACTTTTTGACACACTCAGATTTCAAAGTCAAAAAGGTATATATATATATTTTTTTTTTAAATATGCAAAAAAAACAATACAATAATAAACATGAAAACAAGACTCACATAATCTTTAATAATGATTCCTTTTTCTTGCTTGTTCCCCTGATCCTCCCACTGTGGCTGCTCAGTTCATTCAAATCATTGAAGTCAGTTGCTGTTCTTAGAAGCCTGCTGCTTTCCAACATGAGTCAGACCCAAACACTCATGGGAACATATACAATACAACATATTTTATGCATTTAGCTATGAGTAGTCAACAAAAAATACAGATCACTTGGAA